GACAACATTGAGACTTCCATTATATACACATACAAACAAACTTTGTCAGGGTGTGATGTTTGTATGATTACATTCGATTCCAGCTCTTGGAATCTTCCAGGTATGCAAGACACTAGAATTCAGACTAAAATATTTTATCTCCTTGGCTGGAGATACAATTCAGGTAGTCTTTTAGTATAGAATGTATGAAATGCAAGCTCCATGTGCCACATCGATGCAGAAAAATCCGTTTCAGATGTAAGCTTTCGGCCTCTCAGAAGTTATAATATTCAGAAACCAGAAGAGACATTTTATTGTAGAAACAAACATGCTGATTACAGGCTGCTACAACCTGCAGTCCCTTGCATTTTCCACCACACCCTCTTGAACTAGAATTACAAATAACAAAAGTGAAGTTACACAGACAAAAATACTTGTCGACAGGGCTTTCAGACCACAACTGAGAGTGGCTTTTTTGATTCTCTGTTCCAGGAAGGGTTCCTTTCCCCAGATACTGTTTTCAAACTCACATCTACAATTACTTTCCCTGAGCACTTTCAGACATGGCACTGATGTACCATTCCGAGACTAAAGCCAGTGTTTTTCTACCTACAGTAAAGAAAACAAAATGCCCATTCTGTTACAGCAAAGTCAGCTTTCTGCTTTTTGAAAAAAAAAACAAAAAACAAACCTACATGGTGAAAACACCTCCTCAGGTTGCATTAAAATGGGGGGGGGTGGGCGGGGGGTGGTGTGGAATTTGGAACATTGGCTGTAATGATTTTACCTTCAGGCTTCAGTGAAGCAAATTCCTTGAGAGGAGAAGGTTTTTAACCAGGAGAAGCCACTGGCTTGCCCTCTACTGCTCTTACACTGGAAAGAGCAAGCAAAATAACTCAACAACATGCTGACCACATGCTGACCAAATGACCTCAAGGCTGCACAAGCAAAATGAGCACTGCTCTTGGGGCAAGTGGCAGGCTGCTGCTTCATTTGCAGGGTAGGGTGTGCCTGCACAGAGGGCATTCATCCAAAGATACTCCTCAGCAGAAGAGAAGTATCACAGATGCATCATGGTTAGAATAATTTCAAAACATTTAAATAGGAAATACATGTCTTCATGAGGAACATCACGATGAAAAAGAACCCTAGAGAAGATTACTGAATCAAGGAGAGAAAAGCCTGCCTTAGCAGAGACTTGTAAACATCTATTTGTGTTACAGAGCTTTGACCTTTCGGCATCTAAGGCTCCGTTTTTCATTATTTGGCTACTTGTCATTGTGTGTAACCTGTAATGGATACTTTCCTTCACACTGAAAAAAAAAAAAAGTCTTACTAAAATCCTCATTCTTGAGCAGGAGCTATCTATATTAGCTGAAACCATTATTCGATTGCTATTTATACCTGTGTAATGGCTTTCTTAAAGTCGTCTGGGCAATGCTGCTTCGCATGCACTTCTATTCACGGCAGTTACCCTGACAGTAGCTCTAGGAAAACCTCCCAGCACACAACACACTCCAGAATTAACACCACGTTACTCCATCTGTGACACCACAAAGAAAACAGGGAGCAATTTTCTGCTTTAGCCACAGATCGCAAGGACTGCTCTTGGCAATGGAGCACAGTGCTGGTACCTCCTGCGGACTGCAGCTCCAATGCTCTGCATATTTGAGGAATAACTTCATCATTCAGACATATCGCTGACTACATCCATACCGACTTTTTTTGTTGTTTGGGGCATTAGTGCTCCTTTGAATCAAATCCCCCCCACTTATTCTGCTTTAGTTCAGTTAGCAGAGGTTTTAGATACTTGCAAATTGAATCCTTTCCCAAGGAAACCAAGCTAGATTCACAGCAGGGGTGCCTGGTCCCTCAGGGAAATGTCAGGCTCCAAATCAACAGTTAGTCTTTTGGCCAGGGATGAATCATTTGCGTGGCAGCAGCATTTCATCCAGAAACTGTGCTAAATCTAGTGCAGAGTAAAAATCTCCAACCCACATATACGGTGGAATTATGGGGCCCACAGCAATAACTGTTTTTATCTCTTCCCATGCTCCAAGTAACTCAGTATATGAACAGTGTAGGTCTTCTCAGGACAACCCAGGGTGCTAGATCCCTACCTGACTCTCTCTTCTTCAGCTCTTTTAAGCTCTGCGTCCCGTTGCAGCACCTTCATTATTGCTTCTTGTTCCTCCTCTGTTAGGAAGCTTAGGTCAATCATCTTGTGTGTGTAGGGGCTGGTGAAGTGTCCAGGAAGATCTTAAATCCTGCTGAGGAGGAGAGTCTTGTAGTCCACTTTAAAGGTATGGGAGAAGAGAAGCCTTTTTCAGCAGGCACTGAGAAAGCTGGACCAGGTTACAGTCAGTGGTTTAAAGACCCCCAAATGTTGCTTTCTTGCAGAAGAGTAACTGCATGCTTCCC